AAACACTCTGTATCACAGGGGTTTTGTGAAGGGAAAAGATTAGAGGGACCAGTATATTGCCCAGAATTTAGAAAGTGCTCAAGATCTTTGGTGTCCTGGACAGTCTTGGTAACCATCTTAAATTACCCTTACAGCTGGTTTTACAACTTCCTGACTTTAACAAATCTTCACTATTTCAAAACTGAAAGTAGAGGCTCCATACATCTTGGAAAGAACCAGGCAAGGCTCCAAAGAGGAAGCCCTCTGTGAAGAAAAGGCAGCAGGCCCAGGGCCTCCCCGCTGGCTCCGGAGAATCCCCACGGAAAGGCGAGGAGGCCTGTTTCTGCAAAAACGCACAGATAACAGCCAAAAAGCCTACGCTTCCGCAAAAGGCCCTGATCAGGCTCGATCTCATCCCAACTGCTGCCATTTAGCTCCTGTGTAATTAAGTTTCTTAAAATCTCGGTGCCTCGGTTTCCTCGTCTGTGAGATGCGGATGACAACTATACTATTTACATCCTAGGCGCATTTTCAAAATTAAGTGACATAAAGCATGTAAAGTGCTTTGGCACACAGTAAGCTGTCAAAAACGGGTAGTTCTTAAGATTATTAAAGAGATTGTTAACGGGAACAAGTGAGTTCATGCTTCGAAAGCGCTTTGTAACACCGAAAGCATTCTACAAACGTCGCGCGCCGTTTCCTCGCCATGGTCTGGTCCCACACGGATCCCAGCCGCCGAGGGGCAGGCGGACTCGGCGGGCACCCGCGCCAAGCCCGCACCCTCCGGGTCCCGGGGAAGCAGCGTTGCCGCGGACGGGCGTACGCGAGCGGTGCCTCCCCAAACCCTAGACACGACTCCTCTCATCACAGCCCTCCCCTCTGCGTCTTTGGGACCAGGATACCCGCCCTCCGCGCCAGCTGCGCTCGGAAGCCAGAGGCCCCGCGAAAGAGCGGAAGAGAAACCCTCCCCCACCTCGGCCGCTCCGAAACTTATCAACACCCCAAACTTTGCGCCGACTTGCCCTGCCTAGCAGGCCAGAGGTCCCCCCACCCCGCTCCCCGCGGAAAGGAGCAAGGAGCGTACGTCCGGGCTCGCACCCCCTCCCCACTCCCCGGCCACCCCACCGCTTCCCCAGGGTTAGAGCCCTGGGTTGGTTCCCCGGCCGGGAAGGAGAACTTGGGGGAGGAGGTCACAGTCAGAGACACCGAGCGGACCAAAGAGGGGCTGGCGGAGGAGGGGAGGAGGGGGTACTCACGCTGCACAGCGTCCAGGCCAGGCAGAGAGAGCAGTGCCAGCAAGGCCAAGGCCACCACTGGGCGAGACATCGTGACCAGCACGCCGTCAGCTGCAGAAATGCCCGCCTGGCCCGGCGCGCCCACTTTTATTTCGCTCATGCGCCGCCAATCAGGACCCGACGGGCGGGGACCGTCACCCGTCTCCTAGGGCGCGACGCCGAGGTAGGTTAGAGCGAGGGACTTTCCCGTTTTCAGTTTCCTTTTCTTGTAAGTCCCGTGATGCCCAGCAAGGCATGGGTTGGACCGCGTGGGTTTGCTGTCTGTAAATGCGCGCTCTCCGGTCTGGGGTGCGCCCCCGAGCCTGGGCTCGGGCCGTGCATCCCAGGACTTAAGGCTTGAAGCACCTTCATCCAGCGCCCTCGCTTTTCAGACTGGCCCCAGAGTGGCTAAGTGACTGGGCTAACGGTGCCCCAGCCTAGCCTGCGGTTTTCATTCGAGAAAACGGAAGCCCAGAAAGATTCAGAGCGTTGAACGGTTCCTGGCAGAACTAGAACTTCGGTTTTTAACTACAACCCGGGAATACACTGCATGGTTTCCCGATTCTCTGGGCAAGAAAACTAGTCCCAGGAACGGCGAGTCCTCCTGAGCACAGCTCAGAGAACCGTCCAGAGCGAACGAGAACCTTTCTTCTTGAATTCCTTCAGGGAAAAGTTTCTTTTTGGAAAGTTCTGTGCCAAGAAGTAACTCCCTGTACCCTCGCTTTTTGTTTAGGTAATTTGCTTTGTTCTGTTGATTTGTGGGAAAAAGAAAACAATCACTGACAGTAAAAGCAATAACTGTTTGCTCAGAGCTTTAAAGCTCCCACAACCCTTCAGGTCCATAATTCCCTTAGAGTTACCACCCTAGAACAGCGCCTGGCGCATAGTAGGTACTCCTCAACTGAATGCATGAGTGAATACAGGAATAAACTCTAGGAGGTAAGAATTACATCATTCATTTTATGGATAGGGAAAACAAAAGCTAAGAGAGTAGGATTCAGACACTGGCCTGATTGCATTGGCTTTCCTGCTTTAGACACCAGAAGACAAAGGGCTCTGCAATTTCAGTGAGAGTTTGGATTGCATCAGCCGTGGGCCCAGCCAGGAAAGTTAAACCCACTGACTCTAAGAGCGTGACAATGACAGGCAGACTCACTAAGAAAACCTACACCCTAAAGACATCATAAATAAGGTGTTGCCATTTCGTGGCCGCCAAATCCACGGATCTTTTCTGAGTGGAAAGGTGAGAGGAGGAAGTGGACCATGAGGAGGTGGAGGGGCAGAGATCTTGGAAATCCCCAGGGTTTTCTGTTGAAAGGAGTTACCTTGTGCATCCCCAAGGAGCACAACAAATACTTTATGGGTTTCTTTTACATATGTTTCTGCTTCTAATAATCCCTATTGTGAAGGCCTTGTCTAAACTAGAGAAAATAGAATATTTTCCATAGACTTAATGAAATGAGATAATGCACAGAGAAAGCCTCCCACAGTGCCCAGCAAGTGTTCTGTTTAATAAGCACTATAATTATTAATGTTACTTAGCTAGTTTTCCTACCAGCCCTTTCTATAACTCTGAAATATAAGAATAATTGTTATTCCTAAAGTTATGAGTTGGCATTCCTGTCTCTGCCCCAACTCATGACTTTTTAAAGCTCATTTAAGGTTTGAAATGTCTGTATTGAATTGTACTAGAAAATGTTAATATTGAGTCGAACTAGAAGAGTGCTTAGGATTATAGAAAGAGACTTCTTGTTCCTTGTTTACTACAGCAAAGAAAAATACCTAATTTAAAACTCATTAAAGATTTATTCTGACTCATTCACTGAGAAAACCAATTTAAAAAGCAATAAAACATTGAAAACAGAGAAAAGTCTATTTTTGGTTTTTCTTGTTGTTATTTTGAGACAGGGTCTAGCCCTTTTGTCAGGGCTGGAGAGCAGTGGTGTCATCATTAGCTCACTGCAACTCCTGGGCATAAGGGATCCTCCTGCCTCAGCCTCCAGAGCAGCTGGGAACTACAAGTGTGTGCAATCATGCCACTAATTTTTCTATTTTTTTTAGAGATGAGGCCTCACTACATTTCTCAGGCTGGTATTGAACTCCTGGCCTCAAGTGATTCTCCTGCCTCAGCCTCCCAAAGTACTGGGATTGCAGGCGTGACTCACAGGCCTGGCCTATTTTTCAGTTTTCTGTGTGTGGGGAATTACTGGATTATTTTTCTTGGATTTACCATCGAGGACATGTTTTGAATAGTGAGAGTGAAAATGAAATATAAAACTATTTTTTTAAAAAACAAGAACACTGTTTGCAGAAGAGGGCAAATTTTGGAAATCTATAAACATGACTATTTAATAGTGTGAGCTCCCAATAGTGCAATTAACAGATGTAGGGTTTTTTTGTGGGTTTTTTTTTTTTTTTTTTTTTTTTGCCTACATGAATTTCTCTAACATTTTTTTTTTACAATGAACATTTGTTCAAAACTGTAAATGTTGACAAGAATTTGGAAGAACTGGAACTCTCACAGTTCTGGTGGGAATATAAAATGGTATAAACAATTTGGAAAACAGTTCAACAGGTTTTTAAAAAGTTAAACATACACTGGCCATAAGATTCAGCTGTTCCACTGAAGGTATTTGCCCAAGAGAAAATGAAAGCATATGTCTACATAAAGACTTGTACGCAAATGTTCACAGCAGCTTTATTTGTAATAGTGGAAAACTAGAAACCATCCAACATCTGTCAACAGGTGAATGGATAAAATCATTGTGGTATATATCCGTGCAATGGAATACTATCAGCAACAAACAAGGAATAAACTATTGATACATACAACAACGTGGATGAAACAATTATGCTGAATGAAAGAAGCCAGACAGGCCGGGCGCGGTGGCTCACGCCTGTAATCCTAGCTCTTTGGGAGGCCAAGGCGGGAGGATTGTTTGAGCTCAGGAGTTCGAAACCAGCCTGAGCAAGAGCGAGACCCCGTCTCTACTAAAAATAGAAAGAAATTAATCGGACAACTAAAAATACATAGAAAAAATTAGCCGGGCATGGTGGCGCATGCCTGTAGTCCCAGCTACTCGGGAGGCTGAGGCAGGAGGATTGCTTGAGCCCAGGAGTTTGAGGTTGCTGTGAGCTAGGCTGATGCCACGGCACTCTAGCCCAGACAAAAAAGTGAGACTCTGTCTTAAAAAAAAAAAAAAAATAGAGTATATACTGTATGATTCTGTTGATAGAAAACTCTAGAAAAGGCAAACTAGTCTATAGTGACAGAAAGCAGATGAGTGATTTCCAGGGAGTAACAGGATCATGGAAGCATGAGGAAAATGGAGTGATGGATATGTTCATTATCTTGAGATTGAGGATCGTTTCATAGGTGTGTAAATATTTTAGAACTTTATACTCTAAGTGTAATTTATTGTATGTAAATTGTAACTATTTAAAAGGACAAAGCTGGGTGCCATGGCCTGCACCTATAGTCCCAACAAGTCGAGAGGATCACTTGAGCCCAGGATTTCGAATCCAGCCTGAGCAATATGGCAAGACCTTCATCTCTAAAAAACAAAACCAAAAAACGCCCCTACAGACAGATACAAAAAAGGACAAACCCTAAAAGCACAGATACCTGTATTGTTAGGTAAAAAAAGAATGAAGTGCTTGACAGAAAGAAAAAGAAGGATATTGATGTGAGGAGAAAATAGGAATAGGTTAAAGTTCAAATGAGTTGGGTTGCACCTGAATGGATGTCAGTCAGTGGTTTTCTGAGATGGGTTCATCCAAACAGCTGGAAGAGCCAGGCCAATTAGTGAGGAGAGATACAGGCATTCGTAGGCCGTTTGTGCTGGACTCTTTCAAATGTTATATCATTAATCCCTTGCTGTCCAAAGTGTGATCCATGTATCACCAGTATCAACATGTAGAAGCTCTTAGAAATACAGAGTCTTGGCCAGGCACAGTGGCTCACGCCTGTAATCTCAGCACTTTAGAAGGCTGAGGTGGGAGGATCACTTTAGGTCATGAATTCAAGCCAAACTGGGTAACATCGTGAGACCCTGTCTTTACAAAAAATTTTAAATATCAGCTGGGCATGGTGACAAGCATCTGTAGTCCTAGCAAATGGGGAGGCTGAGGCAGGAGGATTGCTTGAGCCCAGAAGTTGGAGGCTGCAGTAAGCTATGGTCTCTCCACTGCACTCCAGCATGGGTGACAGAGCAAGATCTTGTTTCAAAAAAATAAAATAAAAAGAAATGCAGAGTCTTAGGCCCATCTCAGACCTACTAAATCAGACCCTTCCTTTTAACAACATCCCAGGTGATTAATATACATATTAAAGTTTGTGAATCCAAGTGATTCATATGCATATTAAAGTGTGTGAAGCTGCTGACCCAAACTACATAACAACCTAGGTGAGTGTTATTTTCATTTACAGATAAGGAGTCTGTGACTCAGAGAGGTAAGGTATTTCCCACATTTGCAATGAGTTAAGATTTAAACACTGGTCCACCTAATTGTAAAGGCCTCATTCTTTCCCCTAGAAAATCATTTTGGACACTTTTTTCCATTCCCTTGCTATGTTGTTCATGCTGGACTCAAACTCCTGAGCTCAAGGGATTCTCCCACGTCAGCCTCCTGAGTAGCTGGCACCATAGGCATGCACCAGCACAGCGGCTCACCTTGGGCACTTTCTGAGAAGGGCTTCATACAAAAGTGTAATTGGGAGGCATGGAGACCAGGGCAAGGATAGAGGCATATGAGAAGGTGAGGGGAAGCAGATACATGGGAACTAGATGTGTGATATTTTTTTTTTAACTGACATTTTTTTCTGTCTATAAAAGTATATGAGCGCATGATAGAAAACGGGAACATACTAAAAGCTATAAAGGAGAAAATTTAAACCACCAGTAATCCTACAACGCAGAGATAACCATTGTTAAATGGTACAATTTAAGGAGTTCAAAGATTGTTGCCTTCTCAAAAGTACCTGCTGGTTAGAGCTGTTCTGGGACTGGAAATCCTCTATCTTCTGTGTTAATTCTGTTAAATTCAGCAAACGTTGGTTGGGTTCAGGCTTTGTGGCAAATGTAAGCACTGTAAGGATTCCAAAGTGAAGAAGACGCCAGACCCTGCCTACCAGGAGATTCCAATT